GAAACACTTTTAAAATCAGCTCTGAAGATGCAAATTTTTACCTGATCAGCTATTGCTGTTGAATGGAGAGACACGGCTAATGAGACTTCTCTTAACAGGTAGTTTGGTCCACTCCACATGACAAACTGGTCCAGTTGCCTCAGGATTGAAGGCTGCCTTATCCATACATCATATTTCAGCTTTAAAGGTGCTCCATAGGATTTAGGCCAGGGTCATAGAAGGTCACTTCCGAATAGTCAATTTTTTTTCCTCTTAGCCTTTCATTGCTGTGTTTAGCTGTGTGTTTTTGGTCATTATCCTGTTAGACTGCATCTAAGACCAAATTTTCGGACCCTCGGCAGCACATTTCTCTCTAGAAACCCTTGATGATCTTTTCATTTCATGTAACCCAGGTTAAGTTTTTATTTTTATGATTCATATATGTGCTTGTTATGCCCTAATATTACCTGCCTGTGATGAGTTAAGGCTAATGTTTTCCAAAGAACTGTATCTAATTAGAACAGCTCTTCTGTCAGGATGAAAAATAATGATCTTCATTATGTACGCAACAAAGATTTGGGAATGAAATCGGAGCACAGCGAGGTCAGAGTGAATAATTCTTAGCAGAGAGCTCTGGTAGTGTGCATTTGGATTGTCATTGACCTAGAAGACTGTGTTACTACAATAGGGCTGGAGCAAGTGATGACTCCTCATTTACAAACAACATGTATATGAGATGCAATGATATGAGGATATTGCAGAGTGTGACCCTGGATGTGTGTAAAATGCTTCTTTGACTATTATTATGGGCTGACTTTCTGAGGAAGGAACCCCAGTGGTAATAAAATGCTGTAAGTCTTATAAACTCTAAACCTGTTAAAACACTTCTCATATTTATTTAATACACATACATAAAGTGTTATTTAAATTATCTCCTCTTAGGAGAGAGTCGGGGAGAGAAAGCTTGAAGGTGTAAACACACAAAGTTTCCCATTACACCTATGCCAGATGAAGAAAAGCAGCTCCAGAACATGACTTAGCCTCCTCCATGTTTCAAAGTAGGTACAGTTTTCTTTTCTTAATAGGCTTAATTTTTCCATTTGCGAACATAGAAATGGTGTGTCTTTGTAAAAAGTGCAATGTTTGTCTCATCTGTCCATAAGACATTCTTCCAGAAGCTTTGTGGCCTGTTAACGTATAGTTTGATAAATTCCAGTCTCGATACATTTTTATTTTTTTTCAACAATGATGCCCTCCTCAGACATCTACTACAGTATTAAGTCCACTTAAAAGAATGTCGGGTGGTGTGATATGACACTGATGTTCCTTGAGCTTCAAGGATATCTTTAATACTGTATCTTTAGAAGTTCTCTGGCTTTTTTGTTACAATCTATATTTTCTATCTCTCTGCTTTGTCATCAACTTCCCTCCTGTGGTCATGTCCAGGGAGGTTCACTACAGTCCCATGGATCTTAAATTTTGGAGAAAAAAAATTCAACTTTAGTCACAGGAACATCAAGCTGCTTGGAGATGGTCTTATGACATTTATCTTTAACATAGTTATCTATATCTTTCTCTCTTACCAAGACAACACTTTTCTTTGTTTCCTCTGGTCTATGTTGAGTGTGGTACCGTATACACCATGTCACCAAAACGCACAGTAACTACCCGAAGCCCAAAATATAGGCTTGCTGACTGATTGTAGACACCTGTGGTGCTAATTAGTGGACACCACTTGAATTAACATGTCCCTTTGATCATGTTATGTTCAGTCTTTTCTAAGGGGGCCCTTTGGCCTTTTTCATTAGTTTATTTTCTAATTATTTTGTTGAAGTGGTTAAAAAAAAATCAGACATCTTTGTTCTTTTTTATAAATGTTTTGGATTACTTTTGTAGGATTCAAGTTATTTCTGTGACCATTTTTTTCTTCTCCTACGATGTTAATAATATTCTTGTCACGATTCAGAACAGGAGACCCAGTATTCAAGACCAGATATGCAGTGGGATAACTCAAAAACCATTTATTAAATCTGGTTTTCAAGCTCCGTCCATGCCTAGAGAACGAGGTAGGATCCAGCCGGTGGGCAGCCAACAAGATGCGGTGGGTGCCACCTAGAGTGTTCCCGGAGGCTGCAGCCCCACAGAACATACAGGAGTCTGAAGCCAGGTCGGGGACACAGATCAGAACAGGAACAGGCAGGGTCAGAGGTCCAGGAGTCCGGAGCCAGGTCAGACAAACAGATCAGAGAGGAAAAGGCAGGCTCAGTGGTTGAGAAGTAGGTCAGGATCATGAAATCAGGAAAACCAAGGAACTTTAAAAACAGTCTCACCACTAGCTAGAGAGAACAAGACTAATGTTCAGATAACTTAACGTAAGCCCCTTAAATAGAGGCAGGAACAGGTGGGCAGAGATAAACAGGTGAATGGAATAAGTAATTAAGCCAGTTATTGCCAAGATCATGCCAATTCTACTTTAAATTTAGGATCAGATTATTTGATCATTTTCACACGTCATAAAGCATTTCACTGGCTTCCTGTACTCAGATGAAAAAAAAACAAAAAACAGAATGATGACAGAATTATGTTTAATTATAGTTGATACATTTGTAAGAAACTTCTGTTAGCCATAGTTTATAAGGATACATTTCCTTTTGTTAGCTCTTCGGCCTCAAAATAAGAGCTTTCTGATGTCCTCCCGGTTGTCTTTATTGCTTTGAAAGGTTTAAAAATGGTTCTGTAGCCCCTTACATCACCTGCATAAATAGGTTTCTTTCCACTGAAACAAGCTAGAATCAGGATAATTAGAGAATATTTGGGAGTTTGTGGATTAAAAACAAGGACAAATTAGGTTGTTTATGGCCTTCAGCCATTATTATCAAACCCCACCCACATGTGTCAAAGAAAGGAGCACATCATTAATTGTCTAATTAAAAAATGCTGTCTGTAAAAGCTGGAACCAAAGTCATTACCTACCTTTACCACCACCCCCCCC